CTCAGTGTACTTAATTCTGCTGACATCTTTCCATAGCCAATTTTACAGCCCTCTAATTTGACTCAAATCAATTGAAATGTACTGTATGAACCTCATCCTCACTATTTACTGTACGTTTGCCTTTCTTTAGAAGAAAAATATGAACAAGATGTCAAATTTGGGCTACTACTGTCTAGTAAATTATTTCAGTCACTGAAAGAAAGAGAAAAGAGAAAGCTTCTGTTTTTAATCAGCTCTTACCTCGTCTGCGAGAAGAGAAAGTTCACTTGTATCTGCAGCATCGTAGTCATACAGCACTTTAGCCTTGCGGGTGCCAGTGGCAGGAGGCTTGACCTCTTCAATCTTCAGTGTGTTGGACTCCAGCGCATTGGGGGGGTTTGGTGGACGACTGGGTGATGAAGGCCCAGGTTGTGTGCCAGTGGAAAGGGGAGAAGGGCCTGCTGACACCCCTGATGTGGAGGCGTTCACAGCAAAAGCATTAGGAAACCTGAAACCACACAGTTAAAGTCAGAGACTCTGTGTTTGTATTTTTACATGTGCATTAATATTTTGATCATATATTTATATATAAAGCTGAAGTCAGAGTTATTAGCCCTTCTTTTAAATTTTAATTTGTTCACATTTTTCCTCAATTTCTTTTTATTGAAGAGAATTTCATTGAAGAGAATTACTAAACAATCATTTTAATAACTGATTACTTTTATCTTTGCCATGATGACAGTACATAACATTTGACTAGATATCTTTCAAGGTGATAGTATTCAGCTAAAGTGTGATTTAATTTAAAGGCTTAAATGGGTTAATTGGGGTAATTAGGCAAGTCATTGTACAAGCAATGGTTTGTTCTGTAGGCAATTGAAAAAAAAATTGTTTAGGGGGCTAATAACAAACCTTAAAAAAAGTAAATTAATTTAATAATAATAAAAGGCTTTTATTTTAGTCAAAATAAAAAAGTACTTTCTCAAGGAGAAAAAAATATTATAGGAAATGCTGTGAAAATATCCTTAATCTTTTGAATAATAAAAAAGCTAATAATTTTGACTTCAACTGCGTGCGTGATAACTTTTAAATAACTTTTTCTTATGAAGGGCCGAAAACTAAACTTTACTGAAGGTGGTGAGAGAAAAATAAACCAGACTGTTGTCAATGTAATCTTCTAATTTATTATTATATAATTTATTATATAATTCAATTAATACTACATTTTAAATACATTTCAAATACTTTAAATGTAAATTATGATAATACATTTTTGTATAATTTGCTTGCATAATGTCCTCTATTTATCAAGTGACTTTTTTTTTTTTACCTGATTTATTTAATCAAAACACTTAATATCAGTTTGTTTGTTTGTTTTTTGTAGCTCAACGGTTAAAAAACAAAACTTATGTTAAATTAGAAATGACAATCTCTGTTAAAGGCATTCCCCCAAAATTTCCCATCATTCTCCCTCTCTTCTCAGATGGTGTGGAGGGCCAAATCAAAGGTTACTATTGGCCAACTTTGGCCCGTGGGCCGTATATATAATTATAATTAATAATAAGCTAATAATTATGACTTTAACTGTATCTGTGTGTGTACACACACACACACACACACACACACACACACACACACACACACACACACACACACACACACACACACACACACACACACACACACACACACACACAGATACAGTTAAAGTCATAATTATTAGCCCCCCTGAATTATTAGACCCCCTGTTTATTTTTTTCCCCAATTTCTGTTTAACGGAGAGCCGGGTTTTTAACACATTTATAAACATAGGTTTTAATAACTTATTTCTAATAACTGATTTATTTATTTTTGCCATGATGACAGCAAGTAATATTTGACTAGATATCTTTCAAGACACTTCTATACAGCTTAAAGTGACATTTAACGGCTTAACTAGGTTAACAAGATTAACTAAGTTATTGTATAACGATTGTTTGTACTGAAGACTTTCGAAAAAAATATAGCTTAATAATTTTGTCCTTCAAATGTTGTTTCAAAAATTAAAAACAGCTCTTATTCTAGCCAAAATAAAATAAATAAGACTATTTAAATAAGAAAGAAAAAGGGGGGGGGCTAATATATATATATATATATATATATATATATATATATATATATATATATATATATATATATATATATATATATATATATATATATATATATATATATATATATATATATATATATATATATATATATATATATATATATATATATTAAATGTAATAAAAAAAATCACTGGTCATATTAATAAATTTGTGCCATTTGCCCAGTCTCGATTCATTTCCATACCCAGCGTGTTTGTGTTGTGATGGTAGGAGACGAAACTCTTTTTTAATCACAAACCAAACCCATTTCAGATAAATTGGGTCAGGCGTGGCAAATGTCTATTGCAAATGGTGATGGAACGTTCGAGGTTACTAAAGTAACCCTTCGTTCCCAGAGGAGGGGAACGGAAGCACTATAAGTGGATTTGATGTTCTAAATCCGTGTATGGGAGATTCGGTTCAGAAGCTACTCGTCTGAAAGAGTATTGAACGGGCCAATTAAGAATGAATTGGCAGTGCAAGCCTGCGCAGGTGTGCAGCATATGCAATTAACTGAGTATATAAGCACACCTGGTGCCAGCAGACGCTATCCTTTTTAAGCTGAAGAGACTTTTAACAGCTAAGGGACAGTCATTATGGCGACGGAGTATAGTGCTTCCGTTCCCCTCCTCGGGGAACGAAGGGTTACTTTAGTAACCTCGAACGTTCCCCTTCGGGGGGAACTCCAGCACTATAAGTGGACTTGATGTTCTAAATCCATGTATGGGAGCCCATTGAAAGCGCCATAATGACTGCACCTTACCAACACCCACCATGAGAGAGCGGTCAGGCAAGCGTGACGCACCCAGATCATGAGAGGCGCGGTCCTCCAACGTGCCCTTGGCCCTAACTTATCCCACTTCAAAAAGAAGTTTTACGGAATAGGTATATTTTTTTGGGAGTCGCCAACGTCTAGATAATTCTAGGAATATACGACAGTACGTTGGGAAGCGTGCCATTCCAGTAGGGAGGACGCTGCGGAGACCATCCGCACCCAATAGGGGAACAAATGGAATTACATATGGACTAACCCTGAAAAGGGGGAGTGCGCATAAGAAGGTGGTTAGCAGATAGGGAAAGCACGGTGCCACCCAGGGGGGGGAACTTAACCGTGGCGGAAAAGCATATGGGGATCACCAGCGGGGATCGGCCATAGCAGGCACCTATACCCAAAACGCGGGCTGACCAGCGGGCAGACCTACAACGTAATGGGCCAGCAAGTGACTCCTCCGCTGAGTCAGTGCTGGGGGCCTCGGAGGAATCTGCAGGGTTTACCGAATGGGGAACTTTACTGACAGACAGGAGGGTGCACATCTCTCCGTGTTAGGGAAAAAAGGCACCGCAAGCGTGTACAACACCTACCGAGTTGTTTCCTCAATCACCAAAGGTACCTAACACCCTTGAGGAAACCGGCTCCACTCGCAGATTATAAAATCTTGCAAATGTGTTGGGTGTTGCCCAGCCCGCAGCTCTACAAATGTCTGTTAAAGAAGCGCCGCGCGCACACGCCCAAGAGGATGCGACGCTCCGAGTGGAGTGCGCACGCACTCCCGGGGGGCGCGGCTGACCTCTGCTCAAATAGGCACATGAAATGGCCTCCACAATCCAGTGGGATAAACGTTGTTTAGACACGGCACTTCCCTGCTGCCGTCCACCATAACAGACAAAGAGCTGCTCAGAAGATCTAAAGTTCTGAGTACGGTCCACATAAATGCGTAGAGCGCGAACTGGACAAAGTAAGGACAGGGCTGGGTCTGCCTCCTCCGGGGGCAGCGCTTGCAGGGTTACTACCTGATCTCTAAAGGGAGTGGTAGGAACTTTGGGCACATAACCCAATTCCAGGCACGAGTCACTGACCGAAAATGCCTCCATGGAGGCAAACGCGACCAGCAGAGCTGTCTTCAGGGACAGAAATCTTAAAGATACTGTATCGAGTGGCTCGAAGGGATCAAATTGCAGGCTCGTGAGAACGAGGGCGAGATCCCAAGAGGGCGTGAGAGGGGGGCGAGTTGGATTAATTCGCCTAGCGCCTCTGGGGAACCGGATGATGAGGTTATGCCTTCCCACGGTGCCGCCAGCCACCGCGTCATGGTGAGCGGAGATGGCGGCAACGTAAACCTTGAGAGTGGAGGGCGACAGCCTACTGTCCAGCTTCTCTTGAAGGAAAGAGAGCACAACACTGATCTGGCAGGATCGGGGGTCTTCTCTGCGAGAGACACACCGCTCAGTGAATAGACTCCACTTCAGGGCGTAGGCGCGCCTCATAGAGGGGGCTCTAGCCTGGGTGATGGTATCAACCACCGCGGGCGGCAGGTTACCCAAGTCTTCCTCGCGTCTATGGATCACACGTGGAGGTTCCAGAGATCGGGACGAGGGTGCCAGACGGTGCCTTGTCCCTGAGAAAGTAGGTCCTCTCTCAAAGGGATCTGCCATGGGAGGGCCGTCGCGAGGAGGGAGAGCTCTGATATCCAGGTCCGGTTGGGCCAGAGGGGCACAACTAACAGAACCTGTTCCTCGTCCTCCCTGACCTTGCACATTAACTGCGCGATCAGGCTCACTGGGGGAAACGCATACTTGCGTATGCCCCGAGGCCAGCTGTGGGCCAGTGCATCCGTGCCGAAAGAGCCCCCTGCAGGGAGTAAAACAACTGGCAATGAGCGTTCTCGGGGGAAGCAAACAGATCGATCTGGGCCTCCCCAAATCGCGCCCATATCAGCTGGACAGACTCGGGGTGGAGTCTCCATTCTCCAGAGTGAATCTGCTGCCGTGAGAGAACATCGGCTGCATGGTTGAGCATACCTGGGATGTGAATGGTGCGCAGCGACTTCAGCCGCGGGTGACTCCAGAGGAGCAGACGGCGGGCGAGCTGAGACATGCGGCAAGAGCGCATACCCCCCATGCGGTTGATATACGGAGAGCAAGAAACACTGCCAACAGCTCTAGGCGATTGATATGCCAATGCAGCTGGGCACCTACCCACAGGCCCGCAGCTGCATGCCCGTGACACACGGCTCCCCAGCCTGTGCTGGAAGCATCTGTCGAAACAACAACATGACTGGACGTCTGTCCCAGAGGCACACCGGCCTGCAGGAATGAGGGGTCGTTCCAGGGGCTGAGGGTGCGGCGACACAGCGCAGTAACAGAGACTCGGTGTGTGCCTGCATGCCATAAGCGTCTCGGAACTTGATCTTGAAGCCAGAGCTGAAGTGGTCTCATATGGAGCAACCTGAGCGGCATGACAGCCGCAGCGGAAGCCATATGCCCCAGGAGCCTCTGAAAATATTTCAGTGGGACCACTAATTTGCTGTCGAGCTCCCTCAGACAGTTCAGCAGCAGGCGAGCGCGCTCTCCGGAGAGGCGCGCTACCATGGTGACTGAGTCCAGCTCCATCCCGAGAAAAGAGATCCTCTGCACCGGGGCGAGTTTGCTCTTTTCCCAGTTGACCTGCAACCCCAATAGGCGGAGATGCCGGAGCACCTCGTCTCTGTGCGCAGTCAATTGCTCCCGAGAGTGGGCTAAAATCAGCCAGTTGTCGAGATAATTGAGTACGCGGATGCCCGCAAGCCGCAGAGGCGCTAGGGCACCCTCCGCGAGTTTGGTGAAGACCCGCGGAGACAGAGAGAGCCCGAAGGGGAGGACCTTGTACTGCCATGCTCGACCTTCGAACGCGAACCGCAGAAACTGACGTGGCGTGGAAGAATGGAGACATGAAAATACGCGTCCTTCAGGTCTATGGCTGCAAACCAATCCTGAGGACGAACGCATCGGAGGATGCGCCTCTGCGTAAGCATTCTGAACGACAGCTTGTGAAGGCAGCGATTCAAAACGCGCAGATCTAGGATTGGCCGTGACCCACCGCTCTTTTTGGGTATGATGAAGTACGGGCTGTAAAACCCGCTCTCCATCTCGGCTGGAGGTACCGGCTCGATTGCACTCTTCGCCAGGAGGGCAGCAATCTCCTCTCGCAAGACAGGGGCGGACAGGGGATTGACCCTGGTGAAATACATGCCCGTGAACCTGGCAGAGCCCTCGCTAATGACGTCATCGCAGCAATCGTTGACGTACCCGTGGAGGGGCAGCGCGGAGCGGGTGTGCTGATCCGGGGAGCGCGAGGGTCCCACAGAAGAGCTGGAGGAGAGCGATTCGCTCTGGCTCCGCACCCTGACTCCGGAAAAGGGGCTTGGGGGCTGGGAGAAGGAAGACCGTCCCCCCAGCACCCGTGAGCCGCAGGGCAGGCTTGCGGTGCTTGTGAGCCACTGGCAAAGCGCACCGAACCTGCGAGCTAGAGAGCACAGTGTCTCAGACTGGCAGATTTCGGGCTGTCACATCCGGGGAAGTGAAAAAGTGCCCTTTCATTTCATGGCAGTAAAAGGTGCCGTTGAAAATGGCGCCCCGCCCTCCAGCGGGGAAGAGCAAGTTCCCTCTTCTCTAGATTACCTGTCCCAGGGACGCTTCGCGGTCCGTTGCCAGACTTAGCGGCATTCTGGGCAGGGGGAGCTGCCTGCTTCTGAGGTGCTTGACGCGCTCGCTTCGCCAGAGGCGTGTGCGGGGGCGGTGCAGCTCTCGTAGGCGGGCACCTTCGGCGAGGAGCAGGTATGGATGGCACGGCGGGCGGAGCGGGCTACGGATCCGCTGATAAGACATCACCCATCAGACTGCTCTCTCACTGCCTCGAATTCCTGGGTGAATTTGCAGACAGTGTCGCCGACCAGCTTGGGATATGGACAAGTCAAGAAAGCGGACTTTGTCGACTTCGCGCATACCAGCCAAGTTCTAGTCAGGGGTGGCGCTCCTGGATCACTAGTGTGGACATCGTCCTCCCCAAAGCACACGCAGCGGACTCAGTAGTCCGAGGAGCTTAGTCGGCTGCGGTGCGAAGCTCATAAGCCTGGGTTGGACCCACCCTCGTGCAGCTCGGCTAGCGCCTGCGCTTGGTAGCGCTGGTAGGTGGCTATTGCTTGCAAGGCGGAAGCAGCCTGGTCCGTAGCTTTGCAAGCTCTGACTCCGGGGAGCAGAAACTTACAGGCTTTGGATGGGAGACGAGGCGGACCCCACCAAGAAGAGGCGCCGCGCGGACTAACCGCCATAGCGCACTCAACCTGAGGAGTTGCCACATACTCCCTGGCCGCTCCACCACCAAGAGTGGTGAGGGTGGAGGGACACGCAGCACTAGCAGAAAAAAGTGCTCTTTAAGACCGCGTGAGCCTACTGTGCGTCATCGGGAAGAAGGGAACGCCCCTCTAGTCAGTCAGGCCACGGAGCTGGGGGAAAAACCATCTCCAACCCACGGCCGAAGCAGCCCGGGAAAGCACGGCTAACACGTCCGTTTCAGTATCCGTTTTGACAGCGCTCACCTGCCCGAAGGGGGCAGGCGGGTCCGGATCATCGTCGGACAATGAAAGCCCACCCTCCGATGCCGCGGGGGACATCTGATCTCCGGTGTCAGCGAGCGTGAAAGCTACCATCTGATTAGACGGATCACTCCCAGTACCCGAAGCTTGGATGGAGCGCTTGGAGGAGCGAGAGGTCCGCGAGCCCTTAGGCGGCGGATTATCTCTCGCTGGAACCCTCAGATCTGCCCGAGCGCCCGCTGCAGAGCAGGAGGCGACTAGTGTGGCTCGCTCTCTTACGAAAGCTAGCCTAGATCTCAACTGCGTGACGGTCATGGCATCGCAGTGACGACATGAACCGCCCCCGAGCACCACATTAACATGCTGGACCCCCAAACATGTAATGCAGTGAACGTGCCCATCATCCGGAGCCAGGAAACCCCGCAACCAGAAACGCACAGTCGGAGCGTCTTCCTGAGAAGGACGTGCTGCACGACTGTGTTGCTCTTTTAGGATGCTTTGCAGCAATACGCACCGCTCTTGGAGGACCGGACCCAAAGGGACGCCAGGCAAGGGAGAAACCCAGCTCGACCGTCTGCCGCTGCGTGGATTCGCTCTGGACCGGGAGACACTCGTTCGCTCGAAGTGGCTGTAGACAGCAGGAGGAACCCTCATGAAGCTTGATCAGAAAAGTCTCTGAAGCAAAAAGGATAGCGTCTGCTGGCGCCAGGTGTGCTTATATACTCAGTTGATTGCATATGCTGCACACCTGCGCAGGCTTGCGCTGCCAATTCATTATTAATTGGCCCGTTCAATACTCTTTCAGACGAGTAGCTTCTGAACCGAATCTCCCATACACGGATTTAGAACATCAAATCCACTTATAGTGCTGGAGTTCCCCACGAAGGGGAACATAAGCTGTTGCTCACATATAAGACAGACAGGACATGAAAGTCAAAAGCCTTTACATCCCTCAGTCACATGAACAAAATTGCTTAAACACTGTCTGTAAACTCTTCCCTTTTTCAGATGATGGTAAAAGTTACTCACGTATCTCCGTTTGCACTGAGAAAAGAAAAAGCAGAAAACAAAGCTGATATGAAGAAGTTGATATGAAAAAGCTTTTTACTAGAAACACAGCAGTCATTAGGTGCTCATTATTACTCATAAATGTTTTGTAACATCTCCTACATAACAAAGTGTGTCCAGAGAACATGATGAATATGAGGCACATGACACTCAAAAGCAAGGTTTCAAATTGGTGCTAACTCCACTTCTAAATCACTAATGTAAAAATCCCTAAGTGAAGTTCTTACCTGCTCAGTTCTTTCTGAAGGTCCTGCATGTGCCTGTGACACTGAGCGTAATAAGCAGCCTGAGCCTCCACAAACTCATGCAGACAGCGCAGGTGGTTTACCTGCAATGGAAAGTCAATTTAAAGGGAGCAAAATAGAGAACTCATTTTGTTTAAATAGAAATAAATAATTACCAATGTTTAAAAGACTGGGACTGGTATGATATTTTATATTAATTTGCTAAAAAGAAAATAACAATAATACTAAAAAGAAAAGAAAAATGAGACCCACATAACATGCAAAAAAATAAAATAAAATGAAATTTAAAAAAATAACACGTTTTTACAATTTATTAACTGTTTCCCTTATTTTAAATATATATTAAATATATTATTTTATTAAATTATTTTAGGTTAAAATGGCAAATATTTAACTAAACTAAGGGAAGTTGTTGGGCCAAATTCTTAATTTTTTTGATCACACAGGAGGCAAGACTACAGGAAGGTTATAAAAGCACCAAAAACTGATATTAAAAATGTATTTCAGTCAGAATTTTACTATAGGTCAACAAATATATTTTGGCAAAATTTTCCCTCCATATCATAGGTCTCAAACTCAATTCCTGAAGGGCTGCAGCTCTGCAAAGTTTTGCTCCAAGCCTATTCTAAGACAGCTAATTCAACTAATCGAGGTGTTTCAGAATAGCTTTGAACACCTTGATTATTTGGATTAGCCGTGTTTGATTAGGGCTGAGGCAAAACTATGCATAGCTGTGGCCCTCTAGGAATTGAGTTTGAGTCCTATGCTATATATAGAGGTGATATAGCTACTAGTATATATTGTCAGTTTTGTTGTGCTTGCATGTGTGGAAAAGTTTAAAGCATGTGTTTTACAACACTAATTGTGCGCCCCAAACCCCTTTATGTCCAGAACGGTCTGTGGTGCAGAAAGACTCACATGTGTGCTGCTGATGCCCTCCAGCAGGAGGCGAGTCACTTCTGCCTGTCTGTCAAACTCCGTCTGAGCCACACGCAACTCATGCTCTGCCTGGGCGCACACAAACACCCACACACATTATCCACATAGCTCAAATAGTATTTGTTTATAGTCATCTTGGATTGGTCTGTCTTCTTCAGTCAACATAAACATTCTTCCTAAAGTAATAAAGCACCTCCTTTTATAATCTTGTTATGAATAAAACCACAAAAGATATCTTTTTTGATAGGGACAGTGAGAGAAGACAGGAGGCCATGGGGAAGCAGACTGAGAGAGCAACACAGGCCAGACTCCTTAACCACAACCCACATCGGTCACAAGACTCATGTGGATCAACATATGCGCAAACGTTTCGCCAATTCATTAAACACCATTTACAACTGTTAGTGGTTTTAGACATGAAACATGCACAGTGAAAAGTATTCAAGTATGCATTGTCAAAAACACAAAAACGAGAACTTATTACAGTAAATGAGTTTTGGTCATTAGATTGACTGCTGTTTGAGATAATAGATAAAGTTCAGGCAAATAACGTAATCATTATATTTTATTTAAAAAAAAGGCAATGTTGTTCATTCATTTTTGAAAACCCTTTTATAATAAATTCGTTCTAACACCAAAGAAATGGCAGAATTTTGAAACTGCTGTCACAAAAACTTCTTTCGGTAAAGGTAAAAGGGCAATGACGACTACAAATGAATCAATTCATAACACATCCATTTTTATAATTTTTACAGAAATTCCTTTATAGCTACTGTTTTATTTTCATATGTGACCCTACATATGAAACTACATATGAACCACAGTCTAAAGTTATGGGTAAATACACTCACCGTCCACTTTATTAGGTAAATCTTACTAGTACCAGGTTGTACCCCCTTTTTGACCCTGAACCACATTCTGAAGTCATGGGTATGTACACTCACCGGCCACTTTATTAGGTACATCTTAATAGTTCCAGGTTGTACCCCCTTTCGCCTTCACTACTGCCTTAATCCTTCATGGCATAGATTCAACAAGGTACTGGAAATATTCCTCACAGATTTTGTTCCATATTGACATGATAGCATCATGTAGTTTCTGTAGATTTGTCGGCTGCACATCCATGATGTGAATCTCTCGTTCCACCACATCCCAAAGGTGCTCTTTTGGATTGAGTTCAGGTGACAGTGGAGGCCATCGAGTACAGTGAACTCATTGTCATGTTCAAGAAACCAGTCTGAGATGATTTGTGCTTTATGACATGGTGCATTATGTCATAAAGAGGTGAACATGGTCAGCAACGTTTTCCCCAATCTTCTGTTGTCCAAATTTGATGAGTTTGTGTGAACAAAAGCCTCAGTTTCCTGTTTTTAGCTGACAGGAGAGGGACCCGGTGTGGTTTTCAGCTGCTATAGCCAGTACACCTCAACGTTTGATGTGTTGTGCGTTCAGAGATGCTCTTCTAAATACCTCGGTTATAACGAGTGGTTATTGGAGTTACTGTTGCCTTTTTATCAGCTGGAACCAGTCTGGTCATTCTCCTCTAACCTCTGGCATAAACAAGGCATTTGCGTCCACAGAACTGCCCTAACTGGATATCTTCTCTTTTTCTGACCATTCTCTGTAAACCCTAGAGATGGCTGTGCATGAAAATTCCAGTAGATCAGCAGTTTCTGAAATTCTCAGACTAGATCACTTAAATCACCATCATTTTTCTCATTTTTGATGCTCTGATTGAACTGCAGCAGATCATCTTGACCATGTCTACATGCCGAAATGCATTGAGTTGCTGTTAAATTTGTGTTAACGAGCATTTGTACAGGTGTACCTAATAAAGTGGCCGGTGAGTGTATGTATGAATGAATGGCAATAAATGCATTATTCGAGTCAAAATTATAGATTCTTCTAATGTGCAAAAAATAATTTTACCTTCCAAATAAACAAATACCCTCCAAGCAAATGTGTGTTTAAACAGACAGATTGGCTAAAATTCAAGGCTAAATTTGGGCTGTCAATAACAATCTAATACTTCTAATTAAACCCCAAAACTAGACTAGTCATCACGTACACAAAATATACTACTCATGTGCAGTCATTCCTTCCCATATGTTTGATGATTAGTCTAGTTTTGAGCTACACATAGACACCTACACACAAAAAATGCTTACTAGGTATCTTAATCCATCAAGATTATTTTTAGATTTTAGAAAACATTTCAAGAATAAGGACGTTTATGTTGTGATCCAGGATCACAAATGTGTATAGACAGATTGTGTGACTATATTTGAATATTTACTGAATCTGTATTGTACATTTTTCCCATTAAAGGGATAGATCTAAACCTATAAAACTATTCTAGAGAGGTTCTAAACCTTTCTGAATTTCTTTCTTCTGCTGAGCACAAAACAAGATATTCAGTAAAATGCTGGGGGAAAAAGACAGCCATCCAGAATTAAAACCAAAAAAATGACAATGGGAGGTAATGGCTGTTCTTTCCAACATTCATCAGTGTATCTTGCTTTGTGTTTAACAGAAGAAAGAAACTCAAACAGAGCTGACAGTCTTTTTAATGAAATGACAGCTCTTATTACGCAATCATCTATTGGGTAAATTAACACTCAATCATTTATTGCCTCCCTAAGGAAGAAAGCAAACAAAGAAACGTCTAAAAACAGACTGTGGATCTTGCCTGATACTCACTTTATCTACTTCCTCACTCCAGAGCTGGAACATGAAGCATAACGACAAGAGAAAAACAATGATGACAACACACCAGAGACACTCTTTACAAATACACACCCACTGCATGGAGAAAATGCTGACTACATTTCTCAGGTTAAACTTAAGAAATACATACACAAATAAACACGTTGAGGAACTGAAAGAGACATTCTAATGTAATCACACACATGGGCATCTTTAAAATAAATATTTTCAATAAATGTGAAAGGATAAAACCATTTGTACCCCCATGCATTCCACTGATGAAAGGGGACTTTCATGTTTTGACTCATGTAATGGCATTATGTGTACAAGTACAAAATCTATCAACGACATTCAGCAAGGCTGCAACGCAATGATCAAAAGTTACAGGAAAGACTTTTACAATGTTGCACTGGGTTTCAGTTTCAAATAAATGCTGCTGTTTTGACATTTCCAATCATTAAAACAATCCCGAAAAAGTGTTACCACAATTAACATCTCATGAGAATTATCATGCGACAAAGATTAGAGCAATAGACACTTACAATTCAGCTTTAAGTCACAGGAATAAATTAAATTCGAGAATGCATTCAAACAGAAATCACATTAGAAACAACATCAACGTTTTTCATGTATTTTGCTCAAGCGGATACAGCCTTGTTTAACAAAACAAAACAATTTTTCCCACAACAAACATCATTTAATTTTACTTTATTTACAACTGGAAGGAGGCTGCTAGATGCTGAGACTGACCAATCAAATTAGAGTTTACAGAATGAATGAATGAATATATATATATATATATATATATATATATAAATTTTAATTTTTTTTAAAAGACAATAAGGTCAGTTATTAGAAATTAGCTATTTAAACTATTATGTTTAGAAATGTGTTGAAAAAGCTTCTCTTTCTTTAGTTGTAGTCAGAATTATTAGCCCTTCTTTTAACTTTTTTTTTTTTTTCCTTTTTTAAATATTTCCCAAATGATGTTTAACAGAGCAAGGAAATTTTCACAGAAAATGGAGAAAGTCTTATTTGTTTTAGTTCATCTATAACAAAAGCCATTTTACATTTAAAAAAAAAAACATTTTAAGATTAAAATTCTTAGCCCCTTAAAGCAAAATTTTTTGTCAATAGTCTACAGAACAAACCATCATTATACAATAACTTTCCTGATTACTCTAACCTGCCAAGTTAACCTAATTAACCTAGTTAAGCCTTTAAATGCCACTTTAAGCTGTATAGAAGTGTCTTGAAAAATATCTAGTCAAATTATATTTACTGTCATCATGGCAAAGATAAAATAAATCAGATATTAGGAATGAGTTGAAAAAAAAAATCTTCTCTCCATAAACAGAAATAAGGGAAAAAAATAAGAAATTAAATTAATAATTCTGACCTTAACCAACTGTAGATGGATGGATGGAGCTAAAGACAAATCTATTTATTAATCATCCTGTAAATTTTGTACTTTTAAAACTGTAATTTCATATTAATAATTTTCCTTTGTCTTTGCCTTGATGACAGTACAATACACATTTACAAAGTATTTTGAAATTTACCAGTATTCAGCTTCAAATGCAATATAAAGGCTTATTTATTAATTATGTTAGGCAAGTTAGGTTAATTAGGCAAGTCACAACTTGGACAACAGGGGTTTCTTTTGTACACTGTAAAAAAAAAAAGTTGAAAACTCAAAACTGTATAGGGCAACGTGCTGCAGAGCTTTCAAACCCAAGTACTGCACTTCACAAATTTTTTTCAAGTGTAGGCAACTTAAAGAAAAAATGCTATTCTTTCAATATTTTTATTCCAGTCAAACAGAAAGAATTAACACTTACTGCAGAGAAAAAATATAACACTAGAAAATGTTGAAAGGAAAAATGTCCTTGCTCTGTTAAATATGACTTGGGAAACATTTGAAAATGAATTTAAAATTTCACACGAAGACTGATCATTTAGTCTTTAACTATATATAATAATAAGAAATGAGTATCTGTATCCCCAGCTTTTTGAGCTGTACTGTAAAACCCAACAGTCAACTTTTTGAAATGAAATGAGTGTAGTTAACTTAAAATTGACTGAAAGTTAATTCTACCCATTTAAAAAGAGTTTTGAACTCAGTGTTGAAGGTAATGAGTTCATTAAAAACCCCATTACTTTAACTTAAATGGAGTAAGTTCACGACACTTATATGGACTAGTTTGTTTTTTGGTTGTTTTTTGAACTTCAATGGTTTGTAAAAACTGGTTTCCTTAAATGGTTTGAGTTGCCTTAACCCATTGGGTTTTACAGTACTCAGTTGGTTTGAGTTATCTTCATTTATTGGGTTTTACTGTGCTCAAATTGCTTCATTTACTCAA